TGGGGGCGCCGCCCCAGGCGCTGGCGTACCTCGCACGCCGCGCCTGCGAGAACCGCGCCGTGGTGCGCGGCGCACGGCAGGAGCGGCGCCTGCTGCTGCGCGAGATTAAGAGGCGCCTTATGCGCACTCAGTAGCTACTCATGCAAATAAATGAGTCGTATTGTCCAAATATTGAGACACTTTCACACCCACGAGTAGAGAGAGGACGTGTAGCACTAATACTCCATTTTGTCGAGCCAAACTGGGTCAGGAAGACCCACACACGAGCAAAGAGTGTATCGTATTTTTAAGGAAGGTTAGGCACCAAAATTTCAAAACATTCAACATTTCATTGTTGCGTTAATAAAAGATCTGCAAGAAGCTGTGTCTAGCGTGTGCTCGATGTATGCTGCCGGCACAAAAGTTTATAATACAGAGAGGAATTCGTCGCAAAAAGTACATTTGCAAGGTGATCTTGACAGGCTGGTTGACTGGGCTGATAAGTGGCAGCTTCGTTTTAATGGCAAGAATAATGAACAGCAAGATTATAGTATGAGAAGACATGGTTGCAACGACAGAGTAATGATGTCAAAGTCGACAATGGAAAAAGTTTTAGGATTTAATGTCGACAATGAGTTGAAATTTTCTACGCATATTGAAGCTCAAGTTACCTAATAAAGCCAATCAACGACTTACTGAGCAGACGCTCCTACGAGTACATAGATGCAGAAGCGATGAAGCAGTTGTTTGTCGCTGTCGTGCTCCCGAACATGGAATTTGGAAACGCAGTGTGGTCACCAAAACTAGAAAAGGACACAAATTTAGTCGAGATTGCTCATAGACGTACAACAAGGATAATTCGGGGATTAAAAGGCAAGCGTTATGAAGAAAGATTATGAATATTCCAAGCCTCAGTATCGACGTCTGCGTGGTGACCTCTTTGAAGTATACAAGTATACCCACGGGTTATACAAGGTCCTAGATGGATTACTAGAATTTGAAACAAGTACAAACGCCAGGGGCCATGGCTATAAACTAAAAAAACTGCGTTGTAACACATCCATGCGACAACATTTCTTCTCGCTTTGAGTGACCGACATGTAGAACTAGAACAGCTTCCCTGATAGCATCGTTGACGCTCCGAGCATGAATGCTTTCACGAACAGACTAGACTGCTATGCAGGAAAATATGTTCAGTCTTGAAATGTCTATCACCTAACGCCTACGGGCCTAGCAATAAGTCCAGCAGCTATCTCAAGCAATTGTTAGTTATATAAACTAGAAAGATCGGGTTCAACTGGCAATATCTATTGTGGAATCAAGTCACGAAAAGTACAAGAATCGGCAACGCCATGGGAAGTAACGCTTTTATAAATGATCTGCCAGAAGTAGTGTCCAGCGTGTGCTCCATATGTATGCCAACGACACAAAGGTTTATAATTCAGTGAAGAATGCGTCAAATAAAGCGCAATTACAAGATGAACTTGACAGTGTGGCAGCTACGGTTTAATGCTGACAAGTGTAAAGTACTTCACCTCGGGAAGAACAATGAACAGCAAGATTACAGTATGAGAAGACATGGTTGCAAAGAGAGAGTAATGATTGAAAAGTCTAGTGTGGAAAAAGATCTCGGAGTTTATGTCGACAAGGAGCTGACATTTTCTAAGCATGTTGAAACGCAAGCTAACACATCCAACAAACTTCTTGGACTAATCAGACGCTCATACGAGTTCCTAGATGCAGAAACGATGAAGCAGTTGTTTGTTTGTGCCTGCACTGTGGGGTTGGAGAGTCAATTGAACACTTCCTCCTTTCATGTACACTATACGATCATGAGAGACAGGTGATGATATCAAATATCCATGCCCTGGGAGTCCCTCTCATATCTGTGCGTGTGCTCCTTGGTGGAGGAAATTATCCCAGAAGAGTTCAACACCACATAGTGAGAGCAACCACCACATATCTCATGCAAAACGCGTTCAAGAACAGACTAGATAAAGCTATGGAAAAATATATGTTCAGATTTGAAATGCCTAGCTCCTTATCGAACCCGGTGGAAGTCTAGTAGCTACTTCAAACTATCGTCAGTCATGAAAAGATCCGGTCAAATGACACGATTTTAGATCTTCTATGAGCAAGGCATGAAAAGGAAAAGAATCGGCGACAGGCCACATCAGGGAGGCCTACACTTCAGCGCCGACAATTCACTATGTTATGTTATGGGCCAATTTCTTCAGAGCCGACACTTCTATTCTATCCTAGGCTATACGGAGTTCTTAGTTGAAGTTTGAACGACTGTTGGCAAAAGAAAGAAAGGCTCAGAGAAAAATCAAGTTGTGCTCAGACTGGGAGGTGTGATCTCATCATACCCGAAGTCTTAAAATCAATTTTAAAAAATTAGTTGAAGTTATATAGTTGCGGAGTTCTTCCTTATACTTTATAGTGCAGGCACTCGCGTATTCCGCAATTTCTTCGTTACAGTTATCAATTTATCATCAATTCAGAGGGAATTGTAACTTCGTAAGTAACGTTTTCGAAATTCGAAACCTGCTGCTGTAAAAGCTTTAGGATTTGGATGATTATTTCAGTCAATGTAGAAAAACATGAACAATTAGCCTTTAATCTGGAACGTTTGACCCCGAGGCTGAGACTGAAACTGGCAAACTGCCGTTTCGGAGCGGTACCAATGGCAATGACAGGGCAGCTAGGACCTAGGAGATTCAGAAAATATATACTTGCTACTGATTCTCACGTTCAAAACATGAACAAACCTGATGTGAAAAACCCAAGCCTATTGACATCATGAATGGAAGCTTAGGTATACATAGACTATAATTAGGTATAATGAGCTTGCTATTGACAAAACAGCAAATCTGCTCAGCTAGATTACATAGACGGACATGCTGAAAATGCAACATGAATTGATGATGTCAATAATGTGTAATAATTTAATTGTAGATTGACCATTTGATGGTAGGTAATCATGGGTCATGGGATATTGGCAATAATTTGGCATTAGGGCAAATTTTGAAGGTTTTACATCAATACATTATTATGATGATTATACATCTTATTCTGGTAACCTGGTTTGCTAGGACTGGGTCTGGGCCTCTGGGGGACACTGTGAAATTCAATAAAGGTAGGTACCTAATTGCCTATATTCTAATAATTAGTAATATTTATATCAAAAAATGAATCAAAACTTGTGCCTTGTGGTTAGGCAGGTTAGCACTTAGCATTGCCCATAATGCCCAAGAAATTCAGGAATCAAGATTTTTGTAGGTAGCTAAGGTAGGATGTCTTCAGCTGTTAAGTGTTACCCCACTATTATGCAAGTTTGATTGAAGACCAGACTCCAGAGTATGTTTTTTATTGTTTCCTAATCTTCTTGTTTGTTTTTTTTTTCAATGATTCAAACCAAATTTCTTGCTGGTGCCAGATCAAAAAGCAGACTTCCAAATGACATTTTAATAGATTGCAACATTTCAAAAATACAATTTTCATTATCAAGCTGGTGAAGGTTTTACAACTGTTATACATAAGAAATTGGTATAAATCTGGATAAATGAGGAAATTAAAAATGAACTGATTCTAGAAAATCTGTGCTTTGTCACTATGGTAGGCACTAGGCAGTAGCCATACCCAGGATGGTGCCGTTTTCCGCGGATTAATCCGGCATAAACGAGACTCCAAGCCCTTCTACTGGCATACAACGCGGCATACAAAGAGCTAAAATAACGTTATTGCGCACACGCCCGGCGTACGTCCGCATCTGGCTTGTCTTGACCTCAACGTACGTCTGCATCTGGGCGATCTGGCTTGTCCTGACGTACCGTACGTCCGCATCTGGCTTGCCTTGGTGTACGTTTGCATCTGGGTGATCTGGCTTCATAGTGGCAAAGCAGCGAGTTTTTTAGACTCTCCCTCAAGTTCATTTTTGAGTCCTATAACAGTTTACAGCTTTTGCTCATAAAAAAGTCCCTGGCTGCTAAACAATAAAAATATTATGAATTTTGTGGCGAAAAATTTCCTTTACCGAAAGTGAACGTTCTTTTAATCAGAATAAATCCCACGCCAAGTGTGTCTTGATATAAAGTTATTTTCAAATTGTAAACAGCTGACGCGCCCTAATTATATACTGGCCGCGTTTCTTCGAGCGGACTTATTACGTGTTTTGTTTTGAGAAGGGTTAGCTCACTCTGAAAAATGAATGGTTATATCGTCCAAATAATTACTCGCTTTTTTACCCACAGCTCGAGCAGATTTCAGGCTAAACATTGATACGCCCATTTTCTGGGCCTAACTGATTCAGTATGATCCACACTAGGGCAAAAAGTATGTGGCTATTTGAACAATGTCTCAATAATTTATCTGAGTGCACGTTTATCGACGCCTGCAAAGCTTGGAGCAATATCAGAACAAGAGCGCGGCAGTTCAGGGCAGGCGAGCGGCAGTTCAGTGCCGATGTGAGGCAGTTCAGTGCAGGCGTGCGGCAGTTGAGTGCAGGCGAGCGGCATTTCAGAGCAGGTGCTCGGCAGTTCAGTGCAGGAGCGCGGCAGTTCAGTGCCGATGTGAGGCAGTTCGGTGCAGGCGGGGGGCTTTGCAGTACAGACTTAGTACAGTTGAGGGCAGGCGTACAGCAGTTCATGGCAAGTGTTGGACAGTTCAGGACAGGCGAGCGGCAGTTCAGTGCAGGAGTGGGACAGTTCAGACCAAACGTGGAGCAGTACAGGACATGTATCACCACACCGCAACAGGTCACTCCACTTCACCTAGATGGTAAGTACAAATTAATAATAATTACCACTATTATTTATTGAGACGGATTAATAAAGTACTTAAAGTCGTTACTTCATCGGAACAATATGTGTGATTATTTATTTCTTTTTCAACTATCATATATTCGTATCCTATTATCAAATACTTATATAATCAACCAATACCAGTTAATATGAAAATGCAATGATGTTATATTATAATCATATATAATAATATTAATATTATTGTCATATAATAATATATATGACAATAATAATTATAATCATTTAACTATAAAATGAAGCAATACTTCAGATGCTGAAGACCTCGACTTCTCGGACCACCGCCGTGTGTTCGCTGCGTGGCGCCTGAGGGCCCTGCTGCGTGCCGTGTGCGTGTTGCATGCGTGCTCCGTGGACGCCTTCGTGGACAACAGTCACACGGTAACAGCGATAACTGATACACGGTAACAGCGATAACTGATACACGGTAACAGCGATAACTGATGCACGGTAACAGCGATAACTGATGCACGGTAACAGCGATAACTGATGCACGGTAACAGCNCCTCCACTCAGTCCCACTCACCCCTCCACTCACTCCCACTCACGCCTCCACTCAGGCCCACTCACCCCTCCACTTACTCCCACTCACCCCTCCACTCAGTCCCACTCACCCCTCCACTCACTCCCACTCACGCCTCCCCTCCGTCCCACCCACCCCTCCACTTACTCCCACCCACCCCTCCATCCACTCCCACTAACTCACCCTCTACTCACTCCCACTCACCCTCCACTCACTCCCACTCACCCCTCCACTCACTCCCACTCACCCCTCCACTGACCCCTCCACTCTCTCCCACTCACCCTCCACTCACTCTCACTCACCCTCCACTCACTCTCACTCACCCCTCTACTCACTCCCACTCACCCTCCACTTACTCCCACTCACAACTCCACTCACTCCCACTCACGCCTCTACTCACTCCCACTCCCCCTCCACTCACTCCCACTCACCTCTCCACTCACTCCCACTCACCCCTCCACTCAATCCCACTCACCCTCCACTCACTCCCACTCACTAGACAGCACGGTAGCAGCAATAACAACTACACGGTAAGAACCACAAGTATGTTGTTCAAGGCGGAGCATAATGAGAGGAGTTATAGAACAGGAAACCTACTTGCGCATCCCCCTCATTCAGCTGTTCATGTTCATGCCGAGAAATGCAACGTCCCGGAATTCGATCCAAATTTTAAATGCCGGTTCAATTTATAATCCTCAAAAAATTAGAAATAGGTAGTCTGTCGGCCGTGTTTTTTCATGATTATTTGTTTTTATTTGTCGATTTAGATTTCTATTTCTGCAAGGTGAATTTTAATTTAATAATTGATTGTACTTGCGTTTGGCGATTCTGAACTGGCGAGGTTTTGAATATCATTATCGAGAAATTGGCCATAAAAATTTAGGCATTGTGCATTAATGAATAACGAGGTATTGGGAATCAATAAATAACGAGGTATTGGGCTTCAATGAATAACGAGGTATTGGGCATCAATAAATAACGAGGAAATGGGCATCAATAAATAACGAGGAATTGGGCATCAATAAATAACGAGGAAATGGGCATCAATAAATAACGAGGTATTAACAATGAAAAAGAATAATTAGGCATCAATTACGAAGTATTGGGCGTTAATAACGATTAAATAACATTACCAATTGCAGTTACTGCGGCTGGGGGAGCGGCTGCTGGGCCAGGGGGCGCTAGGGGCGCTGGTGGGGCCTTTCTACAGGCAGTTCGTCGCGGGGCCCGACGAGGGGGCGCTGAGGGGCGCCAGGGACGAGCTGCAGCGTAAGGGCGTCCACGTCATGGTGGCGCCCCTGCTGGAGAGCGACGTGAGCGACAGGTGGGCGTGGGCGACAGGTGGGCGTGGACGACAGGTGGGCGTGGGCGACAGGTGGGCGTGGGCGACAGGTGGGCGTGGGCGACAGGTGATGTGAAGACGCTGCTAAAGAACTGATTTAGAACATTGGCCTTACCCTCGTCAGAAGATATCTTCCGTTGATTTACATTCAAATCAGCAATACCGTCCCTTGTCTTACACTTCGAACTAGCATACAAGAAGAAGGCTTTCGGGTACTTTTTCAAGTTTTTGGCAACGTCTTTTTCAAAATTTTTGACTGCGGTGCGACAAGCTTTTTTAGCTTGATTTCGAGCTCTAGCATACAGGTTATACTCAGCATCGCTACGAGTTCGTAAACAACGCTTGTAGTCTTCCTTCTTTTCTTTTAGCTTTGCTTTCACCGTATTGTTCATCCACTGTGTTTTTCTGACTCCACAGAGCTTTATCTTAGGTACACTCGCATCAACTGCAGACATAACTATGTTCTTGATGAATGACCAAGACTCCGCCACATTCAAGTTATGATACAGTCCGAAATGTTCGCTGCACTCACTTATTCACGAAGTTTAACATAGTCGCCTTTCGCAAAGTTGAAGCGTTCACGCTTCCGAGGCGTCTTTTCTGTATAGCACTTAATACTGAAAAACAATGACTGGTGGTGACTTTTGCCCAACGGAGCCTCGTGGCGAAGCTCTTCTATACCATTGATTCTTCACTAATAAACACTAGGTCTAGAGTATTTGGAGTCTGATTACCTCTAAAATGGGTTGGCTTTGTGATGTGCTGGTATAAAAATGAGTCTCTCACAGACTCCATGAACAAGGATGAAGGGTGATTCTCATCCCTTGGAGAGGATTCATGTGCCCAGTCTATTTCTGGATGGTTAAAGTCGCATGAGCCAAGGTGACGTCACATGAGCACAAGGTGACGTCACATGAGCCAAGGCGTCACATGAGCCAAGGTGACGTCACAGTTGGAATAACAATTAACATCCGCTAGGAGCAGCTACGCGTGGATCAACCTTGCATTAGTTCAACCATGGTTACACTCATCCCCGCCACTCACTCCCACTCATCCCCGCCACTCACTCCCACTCTTGTCCACTCACTCCCACTCTTTTCCACTCTCTCCCACTCATCCCCGCCACTCAGGGGGGACGAGGAAGGCTTCGAGAAGAACTTCCGGCAGATGCTGGGGCTCGTCGCTGCCCTGGGTGAGGGGTTGCACCCTTCTTCCCTTCCTCCCCTTGGTGGGGGAGCAGACCCTTCTTCCCCTCCCCCCCACGGTGGGGGATCAGACCCTTCTTCCCCTCCCCCCATCTGCCAGGCCAAAATAACGGGACATCTCAACCCCACGATTGCGGTGAGTGAACGCCCATTAGATGCATGGTGTCACTCACAAGTAGTAAT